AATACATTGCAAATAGTGACATAGCGCATCTACTTAGGGCATTTCCTGAATTCAATCTTTAATTGTTCAGGTATTAACACATTGGAGGCCACACAAGCTTGACTTCATACATTATAGGTAGCATACAGCACTATAAATGACTGCATGAATGTTATTTCTGACATAATTTTGAGAAATGCACATCCTCTCTTTGACAGTTTTATTCTATGATGAATATTAGTAATATATCAGTAGTATGGTAATATACATACAATGCTGATTTTGTTCATTTTAGCCAATCAAAATGATGATATTGGTGACAACAATGGAGACAAGAATCACAATGAGAGCAGTGATGATCCAATTGTAGCTTCTCCTGAGGATGACAAAGCTGCCAGGTTTGCTCCAGGTACTAGTATGTGAACTTTAAACACCATGTGTTATTTAAATACCTTTATAGTATAAAAGTGAGCAGGGAACATGCCCATAAATAATCTACATGTTTGTAATGTGTTTCATGTACACAATGCACAATTGGGGATTTCCTGCACATATACCGGTATATATTACCGGTATGGAATTTATTTTCACTATTTTCACTGAAGGGATGCTTCAGTGAAAATAAAATCCAGCGAATATACTTTTTTTTTTCTATGTCTCCATTTCAAGTCATCAAAATTCAGTGAAAATAAAATCCAGCGAATATACTTTTTTTTTTCTATGTCTCACATTCAACTTTTCAAAAATCAGTGAAAATAAATTCCATACAAAACACTCAAAAAGCTTTTTTAGCGAAAATTTATTCCAGCTAAAATAAAGTATTTCACAGTATACAAAATCAAAATGATAGATTGTTCAATACTGTAATACATATTTTAATATAATGCATATTTTATGTTTAGTATCTCTAGGTGATCTGCCCTTCAGAAATGGTGATTTGGTCAGTTGTGTGGACCAAGTAGTTGATGAAGTCTAAGAAATCTCAGGCAATGTGTATACTAGTTGAATGGATATATTATGTCATATAATATTTCATTTACAGAGTATACCTTTATTACTTGATGATTTCTATCATTTCATTTACTTCGGAGTACAATTCTTTTTCATTTTTATTTGATATTTACACAGATGACAAGAGTATACCTCATTACTTGATGATTTCTATCATTTCATTTACTCTGGAGTACAATTTTTTTTCATTTTTAATTGATATTTACACAGATGTCAGAGAGATCATTATTTTATAATGACACTCTGTATGGTATATATGGTATAATATGGTATAATTTACAATTATTTTAATCTAGAATTAGCAAGGTTACTGAAATCCAAACTGAACCAACAAGCTGTTAAGATTTTATATCTGTCCCAGTTATTGACATCATTCTTGAAAGTGAAATACATAGCAGTATGAATGAC